ACATTTTAAAATAAATAAATAAATAAAAACCACAAACCACAAACCAACAAAAACGAAAACAGACTGTAGGGCTCTACACTATTTTCGTCTGGTTGATAGAAAGTGGATATCCCTCATGCCTTTTCATGGGTAGCATACCTGGACGCTACTCTTGCTGATGCTGCCAGTTTCAAATGAGGATCAATCTACATGTGTATATATATATATCTATATATGTATCTATATATGTATTCAGTGGCACCTTTGCACGCACAAGTTCACCGTGTTTCGCAACTTGAAGGTAGTCAGAGTCAGTTTGGAACATTGTATGTCCATTCCTGTCAACAAAATCGTCACTCGCCTCAGCTCAATTCATGTACCTTGTTTTTTCCTTTCTATCTTTGCATGCGGTGCTCTAGTTCAGAACTTGCAGCCTCTGAGACTGAGATGGCACCAAAAAAACTAGCTGCACCTTTTGGAGGTTATCGATTCTTACGAACGTGGACATTAGACTCCCTAGAATGTTTCCGAGCAGTCGCAGCTTGTGGTCAAATATAACAAAGCAGAGGCCATACACAGTGTTTGACGGAGTGGATTCCAGAGCCTGAAGATATATACTAACACAATTTAGCTATGCCAGTATGTCTATCGTTTCTGATCGGTTGACTGTCACTGTAGCTGTTGCTAGTTCCAGTCAAACTTTTCTTGGTTCCGTGTGTGGCAATACTAGTATAGGTGAGCTTTTGGAGGAGTTGATCGAACTCGTCCCATTTTTCAAGCCATTTTCCCCAAAGTGAGTCCCTATGATATTGTTGAACAATACACACTGGAATTCTTTGTTATCTAGTTACCATAGAGTAATAATCGTCAAACTACCACAGAATGGGGGATTACTCTTAGTGCCGTTTAATTGTTCGAGATAAGCTAACGACATATTTAGATGCTACTTGTAGTAATTGGTATGTAATTAAGGTGTCAAAAACTCAATAAAGATCATCTCTCTTGAGTGACTCTCAACATGGTATCAGAGCGGGTTTAACACCCACTAGTGAGCATTGTTCCTAGTACAGTCTCTCTCCTTTGTCTTTAGATATTACCGCAACTTTCAGGTGAAGCTTTGCTCCCAAAGAAGATCGGTAGTTTTTTGTCTCATCATCACTGTACGACCTAGCCAGAATGTCGATCGAACAGTCAATACTTACAATTAGTGAGAGTAACAAGCTAGAGGGAGCTGCGAACTATAATGTATAGAAACTTAAGATGCGGGCACTGTTGAAAAGGTAAAACATGTGGGACTTAATGGAGAGAAAAGTACTTCCAATATCGTTTCCAACCACAGTAGGTGCATCTACTTTCATAGCAGAGCAGTTTAAAATACAAAAGCTTAAGGCCCAAGCTTTGATTGAGATAGCAGTAAAAGATGAATTCATTAAAACGGTTTCTGAGACTGAAGATCCCGCAGATACTTGGCAAGCACTAAAGAATATTTTTGAGGCTGGCAACTCTTCTCAAATACTGATCCTGTCAAAGAAATTACACAACACGCACATGATCGAAGGACGATCGATCAAAGAATACTTGCAAACAGCTAGAGATCCAAAAAGTAACTTAGCTGCTATGGGTCATAAAGCGGCCGATGAAACTCTAGTGCAGCTCACTCTGAATGGACTCTCTTCAAGTTTTGAAGGGATAATCTAGAGTCTAATTGTACTAGACAAACTGCCTACCTTTGCAATGATAAGTTCAAAGCTGCTTAACGAGTTTCATCGCCTTGAGTTGTGCAGGAATCGCTTAGGGGATGAAGAAGCACTTCTCACACAATTTCGGCGACATTACATTCACTCACGGTAACGCAATATCAATTGCGACATACACAGAAATCACAACACACAAAACAGCAAGAATTACTTGGAAAGAGCTCAGTTTGGAGGAGGCAGTTGAAGATATCAAAGGAAGTCATTTTGCACCAACCAACGCAAAAACTTTCGATGCTACGTTTGCGAGTCTTTTGATTACCCAACTCGATTGTGTCGCGACAAGTATATGGCCTATAAAGAAGAGAGCAACATAAATCTGCTGACGAATGAAGAGTCCAGATATCACTTATAGAGATATCAAGCAAGATCGACAGCAATCAACTATGGTATTTAGACTTCGGAGCAACTCGGCATGTGACAAGTAATAAAAATCTTTTAGAATCATATACACCAGAAAAACAAGGCACAGTAATAACGGCCGGAGGAGAGAAACATTTTGTAGAAGGAACCGAAAGAGCAAAACTTTGTATCAATGATGACAAAATAAAATTACTCAAAATTCTTTATGTGCCTAGTCTCAAAAAAAAAAAAAAAAAAAAAAAAAAAACTTAATCTCAGTGGGTTGTCTAGCAGAATCTAAAAAACTGATTGAGTTTTCTAATCAATATAGCTAGATCATGAACAAGAACAACAGATTGACAATTGCAGGGGAACGAGATCGCGGAAACAAACTATACAGAATCAATACCGCATTCACAATACAACATGATATCATGAAGCAACCCACGGAAAAGATAGTTATTGATAACACTAAAGTTGCTTAGTTATGGCTTCGGAGGCTAGGTCATCTTAGCTACAACAGCCTCTGACACATATCGCTAAAAGGTGAAGTCAATAGCCTACCTATCATAAATTTTATAAGAACTATTTGCAAAAAGTGTTTAGCCAGAAAACAGAATCGAGAAAGATTTTCAAAAAAGTCAACTACGAGAGTAATAAGGGTTCTACAATTATTACATGCCCACCTCGTCGAACCAATGAAAACCCCATCACTGAATGATGCGCATTACTAAGCCATATTTACTGATGATTTTTTGAGACTATCCTAGGTATTTTCTCTACGGGAAAAAATCAGAAACTTCTCATGCATTCATTCAATTAAAACAACTTATTGAGAATGAAACTGGTCAGCATATAAGTGGACTACAAACAGATGGCGGCGGAGAATTCGTATCAATTGCTTTCAAAAGGTTTTGTGAGAACCACGATAATAGTAGACAATACACTCAACCTCACACTCCACCGCAAAATGGAGTTGCAGAGAGAAAAAATCGGACAATCTTTGAGCGAGCTTGCTGCATGTTGGCAAAATGCAAGCTTTCTGAATATCTATGGTGCGAAGCAATCTGTGCAGCAAATTTCTTAGTCAATCAAAGCCCCACTGTGGCTAACTTTGGTGTCACCCCATACAAGCGATACTATCAAACAAAACCTGATGTTAGTCTTCTGAAGTTTTTTGGTTGTCTTGCGTTTGTTCACATACCAAATTCAACAGAGGAAAGCTAGAGAGTAAAACAAAAAGTTGCTTACTCATGGGCCTGGATGAGCACACTAAGGCATATTGATTATATGATCCGTCCACTTGCAAGATCATACTGTCAGAAGATGTGGTATGTGACAAAAACCAGATCAGATATCATCACCTCACTGAATCGAAAGCCAAAGAAGAACAAGTAATCCTGCTGCCCACATGAGAAGATACCAACGCTGAAAATCAGATCTTACATCAAACAAAAAATTATGATATGCCATCAATAATAGAAACAGAATTTGCTTTCAATGAAGAAACAAATCTAGAACCGAATACAACTGTGATTGAAGAATTCAGACAACACCGATATCCTTTAAAAGAAAGACGCCCTTGCATACAACTGAAAAATCACTTTGTTCTTTTAGCAGAACACTTTGGACCTCAAGATTTTGAACAAGTTATTAAAAAAAACTGGATATTAGCTATACAAAATGAAGTGGATTCTCTCACAAAAAATGGAACTTGGACAATTGTTGATTTTCTAAAAGAGATCAAAATGGATATTTAAAGTCAAACCAAGAAACAATTTCAAGCTAGACAAGTTAAAAGCAAGACTAGTTGAATGAGGATTTGAACAAATTCAAGGGGTAGACTACTTCGACACTTATGCCCCAGTTGTCAGATGGAGCACCATTAGATCAATTTTTGCACTTAGAGCACATAAAAACTGGAGCTTACAACAACTAGATGTGAAGACTGCATTCTTAAACAGAAGGTTAGATGAAGAAGTTTACATGCAAATACCTCCTAGCTTTTAGACCGTAACTTAACAAGAAAAAGTCTGCAAATTGATTTGTGCATTAAATGGACTGAAACAAGAGCCACGGGCATGGTACTTGCGAATTTACTCTCATCTAGTGAACGAAGGATTAATCAAAAGCACAGCAGGTTATAGTTTATACCATTCCATAACAAACGGTTTATCAATTGTGTTGCTTTATGTGGATGATCTTATCATTGCTGGAGAAATATAAAAGCTAACATCTCAACTTTTACAAACATTTGAGATGACTTAACTTGGAGAGGCTACCAAATACCTAGGGACAAAAATCATAATATGGTTTTATCAAGAAAATTACATTAAGAAACTACTCCATCAGTTCAATATGAAAAATTGTAATCCAGCTAAGACCCTGATGAGATCCACTATGCATCTTCAAATAGACATGAATCAACCCTCAGTTGATAAAACCAAATATCAATCCTAAATTGGCGGACTTTTTACGCTTCAGTAATTTCACAACCAGACATTTGTTTTGCTGTAAACACACTGAATCGGTACACTCAATATCCACAGGAAGGGCATCTAATCGCGGTCAAAAGAGTTCTACGTTATCTTAAACAGCTGACTCCGGGATATTTTTTTCCAAAAAACAATGAGCTCACTCTTACAAGCTATGCTGATGCTGATTACAGGAGAGATGTTGACACAAGAAGGCCAATATCAAGACTAATACACAAGCTGGGAAAGGCGCCAATCGAATGGTCGAGTAAACAACAGGCTACTATCGCATTGAGTACTACTAAAGAGGAGTACAGGGTACTCTCTGAGGCTGCAAAGGATGCCATTCGCTTATGCCGCATGCTGAAGGAACTGCAAATTAGTGTCAACAGATGAGTGACGACTAGAGTTGGGTAAGATTAATTGATAATTATGTGCTACATTCCCGCAATAAACATGTAGAAATTCAATACCATTTTATTTGCGAGAGAAGTCTTGCAGGAGATGTTACAATTGACTATATACCCACTTTGGAGCAGCAGGCTGATATTATGACTAAACTGCTAGACATGTTTACATACTATTGTCTTTGTGAATCGATCAGTATCACCAAAACCCAATTCTGTCTAGCTACCCTCTCATATAGTCCCCTGCAGATTGCCTGTCACTGAAGCTTTAGAATCGAGCTCCCTTGAACCCAATCACATGGGATTTGCAATCCTCCCATGAATCGTAGATTCCAGGTCGAAATCCTGCTCTGACACCATAAAGTTTTCGACACTTTGCTCCTGTAGATACAGAATCAAACACAGTGCTAGTGTGTCAATTATTTGTTTTAGAGGGAACAATTGTTCTTGTCTCTATATCTCACTGAAAGAACATATAAGCTCTCCAACGACTTCGCAGCAGAAGAAAAGACACCCTCGAAGGCTCGACGTATCGCCAACACCATAATCCATAGCCCTAGCAGAAATAATTCCCACTGCAAAAAAATTGTTAAAAACACCACTCAATCAATACAAAAATTAGCAAATAACAAAGAAACAAGCAAAGATTTGCTTACTGTGTGTAACTCGACAATTTCTTGCTGCCAACGATCCATTGTTACAAAAAACACTAAGTTCCATTGCAAGAGGGAGTGTTGAACAATACACACTGGAACTCTGTTATCTAGTTACCATAGAGTAATAATCGTCAAACCACCACAGAACGCGGGATTACTCTCAGTGTTGTTTAATTGTTCGAGATAAGCTAACGACATATTTAGATACTACTCGTAGTAACTGATATATACTTAAGGTGACGGAAAATAAAGATCTTCTCTCTTGAGTGACTCTCAATAGATACAGATTCCAATACATCATAGTTAAGGGTGTCACCGGATCTCCCCATTCTCCAGAAATTCCCCACAATAATGCAACCAAAAAAGCATGATTCTTACAGGATGTTGAATGCTTCTGAAAACAATCGTTAACATTCATCAGTGCTTTCTTAACTGGACAAGTACGAAACGTTTTTCTTGTGATGGTTTCGTACGTTCTTAAGGAGCTGACCAAGTTCGAAATTCACGTCTCAAACGAGAAAATGGCAAAAATCTACTTGGGCATCAAGTCTTTCGTGATTGTGGAGGTGAAAGTGTTCCTTGACATGGTCCTGGTGGGTAGACTCTTGGATCAGGTAAAGGAGAGCATTGCAGCACCTACTTCGTAATCCACTTCAAGTTGATAATTGGCCTCATGTTTTGATTATGATATTACTTTCAGGGGGCCAGAACTGCTGGATCGGACCATGAGACAGTTTTAGAAGATATTTGACGTGCTCTTTCTGCATGGATCGACAGGATCCGCAAGGTCTTGCTGTGCTTTCTCAATCAAAACTATCAGTTTTTCCCTGTCGGTCATCGTGGTGAAAAAGGCACACCTATTTTTCTCCTGAAGCACTTCGCAGTTGGCTTCCTGTTGTATAGTCACATTGCATCAGCGTTGTCCCGATGACCTGACAAAGGAACCAATGCAGCCACAGCTGCAGCCCTGGTCATTGTTCCTCCTGGTTTGAACCTCCATATTTTACTTGGCCTTGACCTGCATCTTCCTCACTACGGTGCTCACTTCCTTTCTGCAATGCCATGTGCTATAGAACAATTCCTTGTTGAATGTTGGTGGACCCACGTTCAACACGATTTACCTGTACGTGTAATAGAATACACCCTCTACTGTGGGTGAAGATCATATTACAACTTTGAAGTTATGTTTCAAGGGTTGCAAATAAGGAAGATGTCTTGGAAGAAATGGTCTAGAGCAAGGTATTGGTATTGGAAGAAGCACAAGTGATAATCGATGGAAGAATATAACTTGCTAGAAGAGGAATTTTTTCATTTTTCATTTTTTGAACAAGGTTGATAACATGGCCAACTTTCCTCTTGTAACACATAGAAAATAGATAAGTCAAGTCTCATATTTATTGCTTTCAAAAAGTGTTGTAAGATATCAAGTTGCTACATTGTGGCAACCTTGTAGTCTAACTTCATCCAACACCATGTTTGTATTATGTGTTATAAAAAATAAATTAGAAATAATATATACATATGAATGTAAATAGGATATTGCTAATGTCATCACAATTTTTTCCTACTACATACTACCACCAACTTGACATATATTCTTAATTTTTTTCTAATAAAAAATATTAATAATTCAAATATGAATATATATATATATATATATATTAAACCATGATGAAATAATTGTGGTGAAAATAGCAAAAATATTATATTGCCTAAAATTTGAGTGAAATTTTTATAAGACTATAGTGGTAGTAACAAAAACAAAAGTTGTGATGCTATTAACATTACAAAAATTATGTATAAATACATATAAAGATTTTATTGGAAAAAACTTAATTAACACCTAATTAACTAATAGATAATGAGGAATGGTCTTCTTTACGAAGCTGATGAATAAAGTTTTATTACAATATTTATGGATGGAGATTGGGGATAAGACATACTCAAAAGATAAAGAAAATTCTTTTAAGCTTGCTAAATTTGCAAGAAAATATCATGGGTTCAAAACACAAACTTCGTAGTTGCATTGTGTATATACCTGCTCATTGAGGTACATTTCAGGGTTTAAAATATGCACAATGTCTTTTATTAGGCAACAATAAAAATAAAAACAAGCAAACAAACCAAAAAGAATATATATATATATATATATATTTATTTATTTATTTATAATTTTTATATTAATAATTTCAATAAAAGAGTGTGTTAGACAAAGTGTTGCAAAATATTATATGATTATATTTAATACAGGTTTGTATGTTTATGTGATTTTATAAAAATTGGTATAATAAATAAACTACAACTTATTAACAACATATGATAACTAATATAAGTTTTTAAACATGTATTCATATTTAATTCCTATGAACATAATCACTTTATATGCTAATAAAGAATTATTGATTTCAATTTGGAAAAAAAATAAAATAATTACTTTGATATAGTTATTAATGTTGTTACAGTTTTTCATGTTTACTTTTAAACAATTGTGCTTATGGCATGCCTCGAAAATGATGCAATTTCTCAAAAGACCACATTCATTCTTTGAATCTTAAGGGTCTAAATATTAGAATAATAATAATAATAATAATAGTAGTAGAGTGCATTAATTTAACAAAGGAAAAATAACTTTGTTATGCTGCACTACAAAGCAGGCTGTAGAGCTAGAGGCACCAAAAAAGCAAGCAATAAGGTTTGGCCACTGCAAACAAGATTCAAACATCAACAAAGTTGTGGTTAGAAACATCCAATGGATAGAAGCAGTGTGAGTGCACATCATGTATACATCACTTGATTTAAAAATCACAAAGTTTCTTATCAAACAGGGAGATAGAGACCAGCAGGAACTCTGACAGTGACTAATAATACTGCCACAGTTGTAAGTTAGTCTGCTGGGGTTGTTGGAATATGTTTCATGAATCATTCCAACCATGAGGGCCCTTTCAAAAGCATCACCATCTCTCTCTGAGATGTGTCTGGTAGATACTGTCTCAGCCATGTTCAACACATTCCTGGTGCACTTCCAAATTCACCACCTTTCCTGGTCTTTGCTGCTTATTTTCTAGATTTGAGTCCTCAAGTGCTGCCTCTACCAAAAGCTGCCTGAGACCCAATGCACAGTTCTCCCTTTCCTGCTTTTAAATTTGTTTAATTAAGTTTAAGATTAGTTTTTTTTTTTTTTTTTTTTTTTTTTTTAGGAGCTAGTGTCCTTGCTGCTGTGCTGTGAGGAACATTGTTGTGATCACACACACACTTTCCTCACTGTTGAGAATCTTGCTCTCCCTGGAAACAGCCTTGCTGGGAAGTTTTTCAGGGACTGTGTTCCAGAGCATGTGGGCTATTTCAAGGTCTGCAAACTTCATTGCCAAGGTTGGTATGCTTTGATTGCTGCCATGCATTGGGCAATTTTATGGGTGTCTGAGTTCTCTAATAGTAATGCAGATTCTCACCCTAAACAAAGACATGGCATGAACCAGAGGTCCATATTTGGATGCATTCAATATGAGCAAGCAGGATTGGAAAAGGCGATTCTCACAAGATGCTTTTGAAAAGACTATTTGTTTAGGTTTTTTTTGTCTGCTGTCGCAATGGAGTGGGTATTCCAGGCACTTATTGTCTTATTTTATTTACTGATATTTCTGATCGGCATCCATATCATTCTTAAAACAAACACAAAATCTAAAAATCTAAAGTACTGGTGCTCGTTGCACTGGAATCATTATTCATGGAGGATAAATATATATGTGATTCAGATGGCTCTTGTATTTCTGTTTGTAGATAATCAGTTTTTAAATTACAAATATTTAACACAATAAAATTGTGCTTGAATAAGGTTGTCAAGGGAGTAGAAATAAATTTCCAACTAGATGAACCCATGTCATTGTCACGGAAAGTGTGATTCAAATGAAGCTAATTTGAAAGATATGTTTGTGAGCCAAAGAATATTTTTCAAATTAAAATATAATAAAATACAAATAGAAAGAAATAAATGGAAAAAAATAGGTTGTTGTAGATCCAAACCAATGTGCTTTATTGATTGTCTTTAGAATTTGTTTATTGTTATTATAAATGCAAGACAGATAAGAAATTGCTTTTTCTTTAGAATGAATGGAAGTTCTTTTGTTGTGGAAGTTAATGTAATCCATGGAATGAACACCAAATTTTTAGCAAATTTCCCTCCAAAAATTCTTGCTTCAAGAACTAGATAAATTAGTTGTATAATTACCAATCAGGTTCCATTGCAAAGTCCTTGACAAGAAGCAATATTTCTTGGTAGCATCGCAGGATTTAACTTATCCAACATAAATAAATGCACAAATTATTTTAAATAAAATGAGGCACATTTCTAAATAGAACCAACTTTAAGATAAGCAATTCAATTCACATGTGATAATGTATTATTTGTACAATAGAATATTTGATTTTAATTCTATTTTTTTAATTTATGTTTTAAAGGATATTTTAATTATCAAGTATTTTAAAATACTTTATAATTTTATTATTTGTTTTTAATATTTTAATTCTAAATTTTTAAAATAAAACATTAATTTTATTTTATATGTATGATACTAGATATAAGTTATTGAAAATCAACAATGTAAGGTTTCATAATTAAGGTTCTGTAGGTTTGAAACTATTTTTTTATACTTGTTGTGCAAATTTACCTAATCAATAAAAAAAACTTGAAACCTCAATTATTTTTTACCTTGCAACTTGATATTCATAGCAATGGTACTAATAGGATTCATTTGCAACAATAATTATTGGAAGTTTGGACAGACTTGAGTCATAATCTAGTATTCAACTGTGAATTGAAATCCATCAAACCATGTTGCAAATTATGCTTGAGAAGCTAGATGCTTGTTCTATTAATTTCTTATAGTAAAATATTGTTATATATCCAAGTCTACATTGAAGTTATTTAGATGCAAGCATGGAAGCAGTTTGTTATGTGCTAGAGTATAATAAGGACTTCCATATTGTCTTTGAATTCCAAAAACATCTCAAATTTTATAACTTGTTTCTTGCTTGAGTTGCCAATAGGAATATTTCTATACTTACTTCATTTATGTAGCATATTACTGAGTTGATATTATCAACTTGAAATATAGATTGGTAATAAGTTAGACTTGTGAATTCTTAAAAATAAATTATAAATATTGTCATGAGTGGATATTGACATTCACAAAACAAAACCAAAGAATACATAATGAATAAAATGAAAATAAAATAAGATTGGTATGAATCCTTTTTTTAACACAAAAAACAGTATAAGTAGTTGGAATAGAGATTTTTAAAATGCACTTCTCTTATATTCCATTCTATAAAATATCATACAAATTTTTA